TTAAATTTGATGAAACCTTTTTGGACTGGCTATACTGAAAATAAGTCGCAGCACCTTCAAGTGAACCTTAGGAATACCTCTATTTTTCCTATTCCGAATATGATAGAAATCTAATAACTAAATAAAAAACCACTTTCGTTCTTGTTGATATTGCGATGAAGACAGTTAAACTGTGATTTTGCTTTGAGCTGGAAGGCAACCATGTATCTCTAACCTCGTCTTGCCTTTCTACAAAAATATTAAGAAACATGTAAAGGCGTTTACTATCCATTTATCCTAAGATTCAGAGAGTATATCATTATTCAGTTCTTTTGCTACTATAATACTATATTAATATATAATATCATAACTGAGGAAAGGCCACCCCAAAAGCTTGCACGTATGAAACTTGCTGAAAAACCAACCGTTCACAAATGACCAGATCAGAGCACCGGCGCAAGCTGCAATGACAAGTAAGGAAATGAGCAGACGTAGGAAAAATCCACGAAGCCTAAGTTAAAAGTGTGTAAACATTCAGGTATCGACTTTGTTTTTTTATAGACATACATATCCGTCTCCTAAATTTTTCCTTCTTTTTGGTTTCAATAGGAAGGAAGCTACATATGCCTACAGAAATTTTTGGACCTAACATTTCCAACATTTCCTAGACAATGAGGGAGACAACGTTTGGGCTCCTTCAAAATTAAAATTGGAGCAGAAATATAGATATTTTCAAGCTTATATGATACTCAAAATATTTTTCAAAGGTAAGTCAGTTGGTCAAAGTGGTGTTCATAGTTCAAAAGAGATGCATGGTTATGTTAACCTTAAGTCTGCCTTCCATCTCTGCGAAGGATAGAGTTATGGAAGTTTTTCTAGCCAAAATTGGCCTGCGTGGCTCGCCAATGATAAATGAGATATACCAAGCTCTACCTGAAACAGCAAGTACTATTTCCCATTACGAAGACATGCTTCTGTTATTCACTTTGGGCTGCTGTTTTGGGCCAAGATTGGATTTTTGTTTAGTCTAAGCCATGAGCGGCAGATTGGGGATCGGCGTTTCGAGCTCCCTTTGACTAACTGAGCCAAATTTAAATTGCCACTTTGACCAGGTATCCTTTTCTTGTTAATGCAAATCTTATATAGTCGGTTCCCAGAGATAGAGCGGGCGGGGCATTGCGGTCATTGACGCGGCACGGCTGATTGTTACT